GTCCACTGCTGCCTTAAAATCGCCAAGATAATGTATATTTCTTCCTAATTATTTAAATTTAAAGCATTTAACCATCCTATTTTTAAAATTTACCAATAAAACTTTATTATTATTTTCTCTTCTGGCTGAATGATTTTTGCAAAACTATTTGCTAAATAAGAAAACAAAATCTTATTTTTATTTTTATTCTGCCCGCCTCCGATAATCTTTAAACAAGTACGCACGCGAAACAAGGAATAAAAAGTCTCGCATAAATGTACAATATCTGTAGTTTGGGCATTCTCGGATATATGGTATGGGTGCTACCGTGTATTAATCTAAAATGTTGAAAAGTTATTTTCGCTAGAAATAAACTGACAATTTTAGGTACCAATAACTTTTCAAACGATACAGTATTTAAGATTGCAAATTCCATAAGCCTGGCCTAAAATTGCCCACATTAGTAACTTTCACCTTTAAATCTCTTCCCACATAGGCCTTCAGAAATAAAATTTAAAAAAAAATCATCATTGCAAAACGCAAAAGAAAAAAGGGGCGTGTGGCATATTTCGGAGGGCCGTAATTTTAAAACAACTTGGACTTTGAGTCTAAATATTTTTTGAGTCTTCATTTATTTGTAAAAAGGAACAGTTTAGTGAATTTTGAGCAAATTCTAAGCGGGTTACCTGCGGAGTTTCCCGAAAATTAGGTGATTTGGCATGGAATGACCCTATACACAAGAAAACCTGAGAGACTGGACAAGATGTGTATAAGAGACAGGTACCTTAGTGTTAAATTAATTCTGAATAGACTGATAGTGCTATTTCCAGCCATTTAGGGGTATCAAAGACATAATATTTTGTTCCTCAACTGGTGAAATAAATGATATTAAGATAATTAAGAAGAATGGAACAATAACATATTAAATGAAATTCCTGTGGTTGCACAATATAAATAATTATACAATAAAAAAAAACAATAGAAAAAACTGGAAATGCTGTCAGTTCACATTTAGTCGCCTTCATAATTGCCACCAAGTATCCAAGCTATCACAAGAGGGCAGCAAACTACTTTTGTATGATGACAGCTGATACTGAAAGTAAGGCATAAAGTACAGGAAGAAAAAACAGTGCAACTTCCCTATGTCCAGGGTTTCGTAGGTACTTCAATGAAATTCTTAGCCTTAATATAATAAACTAAACTACAGTACAAGGGTCAAATGCAAATTCACGTTGTAAGTCAAAATGGTAGGGGCGAACTTTACTCCAGTTTAGTGTTATTGGCGCTTTATAAATACTTTATTATTATTCATTATTAACTTTTATGTGTTTATGTTGTATAAAAAACAACTAAAATAATTTATACTAAATCAGTAAATTAGGTAAACAAATGATGTGTTGTCCAAGTCTGACTAGCATAAACCTCAAAAACATTTATTTTTTTGCCAACAGCAAGAGTCAGATGATCATCTCAAAGATGACCTCAGTGATTTCGGTCAGTGATTTCGGTCAGTGATTTCGGTCAGTGATTTCGGTCAGTGATTTCGGTCAGTGGTTACAATTCATCGCCAACAAGACAAGGTTGAAATTGGTTCAACGTTGCTAATGGCATCTGCAATGAATTGGTGAGCCATCCTGATCGTGTCAGGGGCAGATATATGGTGTAGCAATTTTACGGAAACCAGGCTACGTGGTGTACAGTAGTAATTTTATTGAATCCAGTCTATGTGGTTTAGTAATTTTATGGAAACCAGTACATTACCCAAGAACACAGACAAGTGGCCCAAGTGATCTTAAGATTAGAAGCGTCAAGCCTTTACAGTAGTATCTCTATTGTCATCAATGCCGTAGCCAGCAATTGGGAGAGTCCCACACAATTTTTCTATTGTACACAAAGAATGGGTCCACATTTTAAAAATGGGTCCAGATTTGATAATCGGCTATGTTCTTACCTTCTTGGAAGATTCTCAAATTGTATTGGCCACTTCCAGATGACTGTAGCTGAGCTAGCCATGCTTGGTTTGGCGGTGTTTTTGATTTATCTAATGTCAGTCTGTACCATTCACCTTCTTGGTCGATAAACTGAAAAAAGTTCATACAGTACTGTACAACATTTGTAGAATATAACACCAGTAATGAATTCAAGGGAGCCCAGCCAAAAAATGGAAAAGAAAATTATATCTAAATTGTAAGTCTGAGAGTGCCATTCCATAATCAGACAGTTTTAATGGCTTACAGTATGTATGGTCCAAATTTTGTTAAAATAAATTATTAGGGATTCACAATCAAAATAACATTCGATAGGCAAACTGGCGATAGACAACAGGGGTCAAGGCCTGTCTGACGGAAGGGCAAATTCTCCATCTGACATCCCCTCCCTACTTTGTAACCCTGTACAGACCACTCCTGTGGATATCTTAAGTTTGTTTTACTGTGTATTATTGGGGAATTATTACTTCCATTCTTGTTTCATTGTTCTACATTTAATGTACATCCAAACAAAAGTGTAATTAATGCACTATATAGATATACAACTAGACATATTATTTCAAATATTTGATGAAGTTGTCAACTATGATAAATAATAAATAATTCGGGCATTTAAAATGCTACAGTACATGTGAAGTTGTTCTGGTTTTCAAACTTTATTGGAAGCACAATTCAACTGACTTCTTGACCCAGTTTCTATTAAAGACATTAAAAAATAATTTATACGTTCAAAGGAAATGTTCAATTAAGAATCACGTGCAGCAGCGTTAGGATTTGCTATTAATATATTAATTTATGAATTGTAGCAATTATTGTATTCCAACTGCTAAAAATAACACACACTTAGTTCATGAACCTTTTTATTTGATTTATCTCAGTGTGGTTAACCTAGTGGGGTTCAAGGATGGTACTGTATTCCCATGCAGGTTATTTTACTGTTAGTTTCCTTGAGTGTTGTTACTCCAAGTATAGTCAACAGTGGCACATCCAGGAAGCGAATTTTTTTATCATAGGTAAGTTAAGCAAAAAATCATGAATTATTCATCAGAGTGTCTGTGAAGGCATATAGCGCTTGCGCAATTTCGCTTCGCTGGACTTCCTTCGCTGCAGCTTTTTTACACAACGCAGTGAGCGAAAGTTAAATTATCGGTGGGGTTCATTGTGTGTGCGGTGGTGATGCTTGGTGTAGTACCTCCGTGGTTTATGCTTAATAAATTATAAGCAGGCTTACATAGGGCTTAGCATAGGCCATATACCGTATACTACTTCTAGCCTGGGCCTAGCTCTCCTCTCTGTAGCCTACACTCATGTCAACATAGATAGTTTAGTACTGCATACTTTAAAGGCTGAGACAATCTACTTATTATTATTCCTATATAGTATGTATTAATTTTTGGAAAAATGACTATATTAGTCTAGTGGTTATATTAATTTTTGGAAAAAAAGTTAAAAAGCCTACAGTAAATCGTAAAAATCAGTCCTCATAGAATATCTAGAGAATGCTTAGGCCCAATAAAAAAAATTATTAGTTTATCACCCTCGCGCGCATGCCTTCTATGGTACTAGAAAAAAAAAATTTTTTGGAAAAAAAAAAAAAAATTTGAATTTTTTTTTTTAATTTTATTTATTTAGTTTTTTCATTTATTTTATTAAATAGTTAGTAGATATTGTTTGCATTATCTAAATCATGTTTTACTTTGAATATCAATGCACCAGCAAACAAACCAAGAGTTATATTTGGCTTTAGCAAAAAAAAATTTAAAAAAAAAGCCTCCCTCCCTCATCACTTTTCTTGCCCAGATAGGGTGATAAACTAATAATATTTTTTATAGGGCCTTATTGTGGATATCTGTGACTTTTTGGTGTGAGTTATAAACTATGAACTTTAGGGGTCTGTCATTATTCATTATACAAAAAATAAAGGATGACCAGGCATGGAACCCTGTCAGGTTGTAGCAGTAGTTCATTTACATTTTGGAATTAATTGTCTGAAAATTAAGATTTAAAATGGGAAAATATAAATAAATAAATATATATAATAATCATTATTATTTACAATAATAATATGATTATTATTATTGTTATTATTATTTATGTAATAAATATAAATACTGTATATATACTGTCTCTTATACACATCT